GTGAAGCTTGAATTTTTTTTTTTTAAGCTTGAAATTTTTAAAGCTGGAATCATCTGATACATACAGGAGACTGACTGATGTATTTGTAAGTTGTAGGGGAAGAAGGGTTCCATAGCCCTATGATTAGAATTCAGTCTTTAAGTGAGGATGTATCTGTAACTGCTTAATGGGTTCATTTTACACACTACCCAGATAGAACCAATTTATCAAGACAGGGGAATTGCAATAGAGAAAGAGTCTAATACACACAGAGCCAGGTAAGCAGGAGACTAGAGATTTATTATTACTCAAATCAGTCTCCCTGAAAATTTGGAGGCTAAGCTTTTTCAAGGATAGTTTTGTGGGCAGGGGCCTATGGGAACGGGTGCTGCTGATTGGTTAGGAATGAAATCATAGGGGTGTGAAAAATGCCTCATGAGGTGAGCTTACTTCTGGGTAGGGACCACAGGACCAGTTGAGCTAAGAGTCTTTGGTCCATGTGGGCTGTCTGGTCATCAGAAATGCAAAAGCCTGAAAAAACATGTCAAAGTCAAACAGGGGAAGCTGCAAATCTTGTGGCCTCCAAAATAATGGCTGGTAATCATTTGACTATGCCTGCATCTTAGCAGAATTCAGGCCTTTCTCATTCTCCTAACCTGGTGGCCTTCCACTAGTTTTACAAAAGTGGTTTATTTTGGGGGAAGGGCTATTGCTATTAAAACTATAAATTTCTCCCATGGTTAGCTTCGTTAGATGATCATAGTTGATTGGATCAGAGCTTTCTACTGTCATAATTTTTTTCACTGCAAGGGCAGTATTTTATTCCTGGGATGTAAATTTCACAACTTCTTCTTTGCTACCCTCCCCATTAGGTAAAAATAGGAAGGCTATAGGGAACAGGAGTTGTGTATTTCCTTTCCCCTAAGTCACCTGTGATTTGGTAAAACCCAATTTATTCAGGCTCTTCTAAAATAGTTTCTCTTGAGAGCATGCTCTGGTAAAGAGAACGAAGAGCTCCGAGGTATTTTTAAATGATTACTTTTCCCCTTTCACTGCTAGAAGCAAATAAAAGACTGTTCTCTGATCTTCACAGTGAGATCTGGTGAGGCTCCTGGAGGTAAAATTCAGGAAACTATGGGGGCTTCCCTAAGACTGTCCTCCTTAAACACCGAGTTTTTAACTTTAAAGGTTATACACCCTGGGCCTACAGCCACACATCAAATAAAGTTGACGTGTTCCCACTTGCATTTGCCTTAGCAGAAGCTTTCCGTTCCTGGCAAGCTCTGACTCTCCACATCCACTTGTCTGTCTCTCTGGTTTTCAGGGCAGTAGCTTGCCTTGTGCCCTCATTTCTCTGATGAATATAAGAAGATTAATTGCTTTTCAGTTTGTTCTACCTTTTTCTTATTGTAAGGATGGAAAGAATAATTTGCAAGCTCTTTATATGTCAGACTGGAAAGCTCCACTTAAATTTCTTTGATCAAAACTGGTTTACTGGCCACCCCTAACTGCAAATAAATTTAGAGATGTGAAAAATTAAACTGACTCCCTTGCTGCCCTGAAGAGAATAGAGGTAACATCAGTATAGAAGAAAGTACTTTCCTTCTTTATTTAGACTGTGAGGATTCTCTTTCTGTAACTTGCCCTCCTCTCTGAGTTTTTGGAATAAATGCATATTATGAGTAAAAGTTCAACCCATTTGCTTTGTTTACCATTTGTTTTTGCATAATGAAAAGAACCTATACGCTGCCATATAGAAACCCAGGACCATCAACTATACACTGTTACCATTTTGCCTTAAATATCTACAAAGCTCCTCCCTTGATGAAATACCAGTGTTTATAACCCCAACCGCATAATCTTTGTCTCTCTTTTAAGCATTAAAATATGTCTGTGCAACATATATTTTCACTTTCCAAGTTATGCCTTAGTATAAAGTATAATAATTTAAGGTATGGGAAGGAAAAGAGAATTATTCCTGAGTCCACCTTTCTATAGTGCAAGACAATTGCCACCATTTCTGAACCCTGTACCTCTTGATTGATTTACATACAATTATTTTGATTACTCTTTCTATCCCTTTGTCATTTCAATACCTAGTACCATCAATTTTTTTTCTTTCATAACTTGCCCCTTAACTAACCATCTAAGGATTTTCATTTCCAAAGCTCCCCTTTTTAACTAAAAGTAGAACTACCATTTGATCCAGCAATCCCACTACTGGATATCTACCCAGAGGAAAATAAGTCATTATATGAAAAAGACACTTACACATGCATGATTACCACAGTGCAATGGGCAATTTAAAAAATGTAGAACAAGCTTAAATGCATATCAAGCAACCAGTGGATAAAGAAAATGTGGTTTATAGATATACCATGAAATACTACTTTGCCATAAAATGAAAGAAAATAATGGCATTCACAGCAACCTGGATGAAGTTGGATACCATTATTCTAAGTGAAGTAACTCAGGAATGGAAAACAAAATATCATATGTTCTTGATACAGGAGTTAAGAAGAAGTTACTTAGGCAGATAGTGAGGGTATGGAAGTCCTTATTAATGTTTTCCCTTTAATGAAAAGCAGCTCCAAATCATTTTCCTTTCTAACAAAGAGCAACCTATAAAATTGAGCTGCGGTCATAGGTGCTGGAAGTTGTGCCAATCATGTTCAAAATGGCGGCTCCATCTTCCCTTCTCTGCCAGTGACATGTATAGTAAGAAGCAAAAAAGATGGCGAAGGCCAAGAGGAAAGTTCATTTGCATAATAAGATTAGGGTGGGGTAGCCAGCCTTCCCTGCGTGCTATGTAAACATCATATCTTATTGAACCAATCTGTGAGCCCTATGTAAATTACATGCCTATAAAATCCATCACCTCCACCACTGGCCAGTCTTTCCTCTCAGAAATCCCCTCTCTCTCACTAGAGAGCGAGAGAGAGCTGTTTTCCTTTCTCTAGCTTTGGCCTATTAAACCTCCAGTCCTAAACTCCTCGTGTGTGTCCACCTCCTAAATTTTCTTGGCATGAGACAATGAATCCCAGGTATTTACCCCAGACAACATAGCTGCTTCATTCTCACTTATAAGTGGGAGCGAAACCATGAGGTCACAGAGGTATAAGAATGATATAATGGACTTGGGGGACACATGGGGAAGGAAGGGAGGGTGGAAAGTAAGGGCTAAAAGACTATATATTGGGTATAGCATACATTGGTCTGGTGATGGGTGCAGCAAAATCCCAGAAATCACCACAAAAATACTTATGAATATAACCAAAACCACCTGTTCCCCCAAAAACAATTGAAATAAGTTTATATAAACTGAAAAAAGCCCCACCTTTTTTTCTTGAAGTGCCAGATGTTTTTTAGAGAAATGTATACATAATTGTTCTATAACATCCATCCCACCAACTTATTTGAGGTTTCAGAAACAACTGAAATGTTTCACAAATAAGTAAGATTATATAAAATAAGATACATTAAATATGAAAATCCTAAGTTCACTCTGGTGCTTATGTTTTCATTTTCCTTAATACAAAGATTTGGAATTGTCTTCAGAATATCCAGATACTTTTCACTGATGGTATTTGGCAATTATAAAAGCTGTGATAACCCATAAAAAAGAAAGTATACCTTTCTTCCAAGAAAGAACATCAAGAAGCTCAAAGGCCCCAAATACTCACTTTGCTAAAGGGCTTCTCTTCATTTTTCAAAGAATAGTAATAACAAGGAGTTACTGTAACAACCCTATTCTAGTTTTTCTTCTATATATTAACCAAGATGTATAGTGTCTCCTGTTTAAGCTCGGGTATTCCATGCTTCTCAAATGTAGTCAAAATCAGTTTGATTTTTTTTCTTTTCATATCATTTTAATTTTCAAATCATTCTGAGTAAATTTTAACATACAATCATTCAAATTGAGAATAAACATTTATTTTCATTTGTAACAATTTCATACTAATGTCATATTATCAAATGTTACAAATGAAAATAAATGGTTACTGTCAATTTCTCTATTAATCTTGTCTCAAAGTGATAATGAATATGACACACCACACCATACCACAGAGTAACACTGCTTTAATCTGTGTTGATTCTTCTTATTTTACCTTTCATCTCTTAAATATTTTGCAATTTGCTTTGTTATAAGCAGTATCCCCACTAATACTCTATTCTCATTTTTTTTGCTTAAACTGATCTTTGACTTTAAGAAAAAAATGCAATAATAGTCTTTGTACAATTTAAATGTTTTGGGACAAAATAAAGGCCTGGATTCATACGAATAAGTACTTTATTTGATAAGTAAGTTGTGCCCAGTAGAACAGAGGATGTGTGATGAAGTTAGAACACTTAGTTGTTAAAAGAAGTTTGAAAAAGTATTTTTGTTTTTATTTTTGTGTACTAAGGGTTTATATAACCTTTTAATAATTATGTCATTAAGTATATATATTTATGAATATTAAAATTATCCTTAAATATTACTTTAAGGTTAAATTTCTGCCAGTAATGATACAGTTTTTTCATTTTTCTTGTATGTTATTTATCCATGTTGTTCACTTCATTCTGGGTCATTTAAAGACATAAACACACTCAACAGATGCCTAAAATATGCTGTGTTAGTCACTCACAGAACATAAAACTTGAAAAATAAAAACCTTATATTTAACATCTCTATCACATCTATTATGTATAGAAATGACTGACATTTCTCAAAACCGATATACTGAGTTCCTACAAATCCTTTCTGCTTGCTATATTTGTTGTATGACTAATAGAGAATTGTTTTATATCATATCTATATTCAGATATGATTTGATAATTTTTTCATATCTGGCTTCTATCTGAACATGACCTTACTTTAGTTTAAAATAGCATTCCCAGCTATTAAGAATTATTTTTACAATACATCTTGCATGAAATAGGTTTTCCCAAGACCTTTTCCAAATAATTTATAGTATATATAATCTTTTCTTGTAGAAATTTTAATTGAATTTTTCTTTGTGTATTCTAATCTTGTCTAGTGGTCATCTTGACAAAGTTGGAGTCTATATGAAGGAAACCATGCTCCAGACCAAAAGATGTGAATTTCAAACATCAAGTGACATATCATGAATTGATCATCTGAAAAATAAATGCAATACTCCGCCATTTCAGGAAAATAAATGCAGTGCAAGTATTTAATATCCAAGCCACAGGCTCTAGAATTCAATTAAACACCATGTCTCACTACCATGTTTTTTTCCTTGTGGTGTACTTGAGATCTGCTGCTTTTCAACAAATAATAATAAATATGTATAGGTAGGCTTTTGAAAAATATTATTCTCATGTTTAAATTTTGCAGATGTTTTATGACATATTTAGAAGTATGTTTTAGTAATAGAACACCAGAATTCCTCTGCTGTATATTTATAATGACTTCTGTTCAAACAAAATGTTAAATTCTTTAAATAGTCCTAGGAGACTGTTACTATAAGTAACTCTATGTTATGTGTTGCTTTTGCAGTTAGGCCAGAGTGTAATTAAAATTTCCATTTAAAATAAAATTTGAATATTAAAATTTTACTTTTATGTATGAAATAAATGATAATTATCCCTATCTCTCAAATACTTTCTTAATTAAAATAAGTAATTTCTAATATGTAGGTTAAATTATCACAATTCTTTTATAAATTAAAAGATTACAAACTATTAGATAAACATGAACATTATATTTGGTAACTGACTTACAATCTCTAAAATGCAATTTAAAGTAAGGTACAGGGAATTCTACTATTGGAAACGATGGAAGTACTATAATTGCACTCCCACAAGCAACTAGAAAATAGGACAAAATATTGAAAACAATGGCTTTCCAGAAATGGAACAAAAGTGAAAAGGACTGTGATTCCCAAGACAAGAGAAATAAATAAGAGGAATCCTATAATTACCCCTTTACTGCCTGGAGGAGCATTCCAGATAATGATCCAGCAAAAAGCATTGTAAGTAGAGCACAGCAGTTTTCCTGAGTTAAAGGTGAGTTGATGAACCAAAATAAAAATTCAGGGAGTCTGGGGAAGCTGGAAGTTGTAGGGAAGGGTTCCACAGTAAGACCTATGCAAAGAACTTTGTAGATGTGCATATTGCTCATGTTGAGTCTTTGCTCATTGGTAAGCTGCATATGCACAGAATGAAATTGGAAAAGGTCAGATCTTTTTATTTTTTCTCTTCCCCACTATGCCAGGTAGTAAAGAACTGGTTAGCTATAAGCTAAACAATCCTTAGCATTCACACTTCCATAGGTAGATGCTTGAGTTTTGGCCAGCAAGCACGGAGAGTCCTTGTTGCTCAAACAGGGTGTTTAGTAGAGAGACCAGAAAAGTCATGTCTCAGTAGCAGTGATAAATTACCTGCAGCATAAAGATGGCTCTAGACCTAGCCTAAAGATGCTTAAAAACTAGTTTGAAATAATCAGACTTATCTACAAGTAACTGTCCACTATAAAAAAGACTACAAAATCCAGATATTTAACACACACAATGTCTAATATCCAACAATAAATTTCTAGGCATGCCAAAATCAGGAAAACAAAACACATGATTAGGGGAAAGTAAAATCAATAGAAACAGACATAGAAATGAAAAAGATGATAGAATTAGAAAAAAGAAATTTAAACATACATTATAAACATGTAAACTATGCTCAGTAATTGAAACAAAAATGTGAACACAAAGAGAGGAATGAAAGATATTAAAAAGAAGTAAATGAAACTTTTAAAAAATACCAAAAATTCAAAAATTCACTAACTTAAATTAACAGCATATTTAATGCAAATAAAGAAGTCACTAAAATTGAAGATATAATGGATACAGCCAAAAAAAAATCCAAAATAAAAAAAAAATAAAAAAAAAAAAAAAAAAAGGAAAATAATTAGTGCTTCACTGACTTGTGAGACCATATCAACTGGCCTAACATATGAATAATTGGGTATGTTAGAATGATTTAGGATAAGAATTTTAAAAACATTTTGTATTAGTCTATTCTCATGCTACTAATAAAGATACAGCTGAGTTTGAGTAACTTATAAAGAAAAGAGTTTTAATGGACTCACAGTTCCACATGGCTGGGGAGGCCTCACTATCATGGCAGAAGATGAAGAAAGAGTGAAGGGACTTCTTACATGGTGGCAGGCAAGAGAGAGCTTGTGTAGGGGAACTCCCATTTATAAAACCATCAGATCTCATGAGACTTACTCACTACCATGAGAACAGCATGGAAAAGACCCACTTCCATGATTCAATTACTTCCTACTGTGTCCCTCCCACAACAATGTGGGAATTACAGGAGCTACAATTCAAGATGAGATTTGGGTGGGGTCACAGCCAAACCATATCATTCTTCCCATGGCCCTTCCCAAATCTTATGTCCTCACATTTCAAAACAATTATACCTTCCCAACAGTCCCCCAAAGTCTTAACTCATTTCACCATTAACTCAAAAGTCCACAGTCCAAAGTTTTACTGAGACAAGGCAAGTGCCTTCTGCCTATGAGCCTGTAAAATCAAAAGCAAGTTAGTTACTTTCTAGATACAACGATGATACAGGCATTGGGAAAGTACACCCATTCCAAATAGCAGAAATTGGACAGAACGAAGGGGCTAGAAGTCCAATAAAAGTCTGAAATCCAGTGGGGAAGTCAAATCTTAAAGTTTCAAAATGATCTTCATTTATTCCATGTCTCACGTCCAGGTCATGCTGATGCAAGAGGTGAGTTCCCATAGTCCTAGACAGTTCTGCCCCTGTGGCTTTGCAGGGTACAGCCCTCTCCTGGATGCTTTCACAGGCTGGCATTGTCTGCAGCTTTTTAAGACACATGGTGCAAGCTATTGATGGATCTACCATTCTAGGTTCTGCAGGACAGTGGCCCTCTTCTAACAGCTCTACTAGGTACTGCTCCAGTGAGGACTCTATGTGGGTGCTTGCACCCCACATTTCCCTTTTTCACTGCTCTAGCAGAGGTTCTCCATGAAGGCTCCACTCCTGCAGCACACCTCTGTCTGGACATCCAGGCATTTCCATACATTTTCTGAAATCTGGGCAGAGATTCCCAAACCTGAATTCTTGACTTATGTGCACCCACAGGCCCAATACCAGATGTAAGCCACCAAGGCTTGGGGCTTGCAGTCTCTGAAGCAATGACCTGAGCTTTATGTTGGCCCCTTTTAGCCACATCTGGAACACAGGGCACCAAATCCTGAGAGTGCACAAAGCAGCAAGACCCCTGGCCCACAACATCATTTTTTCCTCCTAGGCCTCCTGGCTTGTGATAGGTAGGGCTGCCATGAAGACCTCTAACATATCCTGGAGACATTTTCCCCATTGTCTTGTCAATTAACATTTGGCTCCTCATTACTTATGTAAATTTCTGCAGCCAGTTTGAATTTCTCCTAAGAAAATGATATTTTCTTTTCTATTTCATTGGCAGGCTGCAAATTTTGCAAAGTTTTATGCTCTGCTTCTTTTTGAACACTTTGCCACTTAGAAATTTCTTCCACTCATACCCTACATAATCTCTTTCAAGTTCAAAGTTTCACAGATCTCTGGGGCAGGGGAAAAATGCCATCAGTCTCTTTGCATAGCAAGTGAGCTTTACTCTAGTTCCCAACAAGTTCCTTATCTCCATCTATAACCACTTCAGTCTAGACCTTATTGTCCATGTCACTATCAGCATTTTGGTCAAAGTCATTTAGCAAGTTTCTAGGAAGTTCTAAACTTTCTCACATCCTGTCTTCTTCTGAGCCCTCCAAACTGTTCCAGCTTCTGCCTGTTACCCAGTTCCAAAGTCGCTTTTACATTTTCTGGTAACTTTACAGTGGCACCCCATTCATCCAGTATGAATTTACTATATTAATCTGTTCTCACATTGCTAATAAAGACATACCTGAGACTGGGTAATTTATAAAGAAAAGAGGTTTAATGGACTCACAGTTTCACATGGCTGGAGAGGCCTCACAATCATGGCAGAGATGAAGGAAGAGAAAAGGGACTTATTTTTTTCCTTTTTCTTTTTTTTGAGGCAAAGTCTCACTGCATCACCCAGGCTGGAGTGCAATGGGAAAATCTCAGCTCACTGCAATCTCTGCCTTCTGGGTTCAAGTGATCCTTGTGACTCAGCCTCCTAAGTAACTGGGACTACAGGTGTGTGCCACCATGCCCACCTAATTTTTGTATTTTTTTTTTTTTTGTAGAGACAGGATTTCAACATGTTGGTCAGGCTGGTCTCGAAGTCCTGACCTCAAGTGATCTGCCCACCTCAGCTTCCCAATGTGCTGGGATTAAAAGTGTGAGCCACCATGCCTCGCACCACAAAAGGACTTCTTACATGGGGGTAGGCAAGAGAAAGCTTGTGCAAGGGAACTCCCGTTTGTAAAACCGTCAGATCTCCTGAGACTTACTAACATGAGAACAGCATGGAAAAGATTCACTCCCATGATTCAATTACCTCCACCAGGTTCCTTCCACAACACATGGGAATTATAGGAACTACAATTCAAGATGAGGTTTGGGTGGAGTCACAGCCAAAACGTATTACATTTCTAAAACAGTTTCAAATTTGATGAAAAAGAAACCCACAGACCCAAAACGCTGTAAAGAACACCAAGCAAAACAAAGAATAAACCTGCTCAAATGACCTTGTAATCAAATATCTGAAAAACATTGAGAGAGAAAAGCAGCAGGGGAGGGGCCACATTAAATGCTAAGAAACAAAGATAAGGAAACCACAAACTTTGTTGGAAACTATGTAAGCTAGAAGACAATGAGAAGACATCTCTAAAGAAATAAAAGGAAATAAAAAATTGTCAACCAAGGATATTTTTATGTAAAGTAAAAATATCCTTCAAAACTGAAGGCAAAATGCAGATTTTTTTTCAGAAAATAAAAATCAAAACAGTTATCACTAGCAGAGCTGTAGGAAGAACTTCTCTAGGTGAAAGAAAATGACATCAAATAGATTCTTGGATCTATATGAACAATACAGGACTCTGGAAATGATACATATACTGGTAAATAATAAATTATTATCATTATTATTTTTTTTTAGATAGATTCTCACTCTGTTGCCTAGGCTGGAGTGCAGTAGTATGATCTCAGTTCACTGCAACCTCTGCCTCTCAGGTTCAAGTGATTCTCATGCTTCAGCTACCCAAGTATCTGGTTTTATAGATGTGAGCCACCACATGCATCTAATTTTTACATTTTTAGTAGAAATGAGATTTTGCCATATTGGCCATGCTGGTCTCAAACTTCTAGCTTCAAGTGATCCACCTGCCTTGGCCTCTCCAAGTGTTAGGATCACATGTGTGAGTCATTCTGCCCGGCCAAAATCATATGCATTCTAATTTTTATTACTTTAAAAAATAATTGTTTTAAGTAAAATTAAAACAAGTTATCTATCTATCTGTCTATCTAACTATCTATCTAACTATCTGTCTGTCTATCTATCTGAGACAGAGGTTTGCTCTGTTGCCTAGGCTGGAGTGCTGTGAGCAATCTTGGCTCACTGCAACCTCTGACTCCCAGGTTCAAGTGGTCCTCCTGCCTCAGCCTCCCAAGTAGCTGGGATTATAG